GGGATTCTCATTCATTTCAGTCATTCCTCATTTGACTCACGCGTATCCTCTTCTTCGTTTTTGATTGTTAGATTCTACCCCGACTGCCGCTTTGGCGCGCGCTGCCGCAACGTGCACCCAAAGTAACGCCCATTGCGAACGCCCACTGCGAGTATAACATACATTTGGTCGGATTGAGAAAAAGTGCGAGCGGCGGCGGGGGGAACATGGATTGAATGCGGAGTCGGGAATGGAATCGAGAAATGGGAAGAAATATGGATATGTATGTGTACGTGAAGCAATCCCGGGTTGTCTTCGTTCCCCCCCCCCCCCCCCACACCTATAGAGCTCCTTTTTTCTGTACAAATATAATACACACACATGCATTGCACTGGAGTATCTATTTGAAAGTGTGGTCGGTCAAGGGGCTTTGGTCTTGAGTAGGTACATAGAGAGGGGGCAACTTCTGACATGAAAATGACAGGCACCCTGATAGATGGAATTCCGCTTGGCCCCACCCTGCCATCCCCCTTTCCTCGCCCCTTCGTCCCCTAATTTTTTGCCCCGAAACGAAGCTTGGCCCGTCATCAGGGGCGAACACGGGATAGTTAGAGGATCCCCTGGGCGATTCTTCACACTTTCCGAGATGAGTTGGGGGTCACCGCAACGGACGTGGATAGATTAAGGATGTGCAGGATCGATGGGATAAACGCACTCTCGCACTACCCCCCACGTGCATTATTGTAGCCCCAATCTCGCCCCACCACCGACTGCATCTGGTTAGGCCCAAAGTGGGTTTATGAGATAGGGAGATAGGATAGATGGGCGTTTTTCGTCGGCCTTGTAAGATATGTTTTTTTTGTTGTGTTGCGTGGGATCCGCGGGCGTTTTTTGGGGACTGTACGGTACCAACTTTTTGCGTTCCCTCCCCCCCCCCCCGCCGCGCTGTAAAAAAATAAACGGGTGGAAGAGTGAGGCCGCAAAGCCTCTCGCAGTCGCAGCGGCAAGGGAGTAAGAAAAGCGGTGTGCGTGCGATTCTGCGCCCTCTTTTGTTTGTGAAGGACGATCTGCTGTAAAAAGAGAAATAGGATTGGCTGAACCCCCCGGCCCCCACCTCTCTCCTTTTAAGAGACTTTCCCGCTTCTACATTCCCCCCTCCCACCCCCCCTTTTCTTTGCGCTTCTTGGATTTTAGTGCAGGCCACTACTCTCTCCTCGTTCACGGAACCCCCCTCCCCCCCCCCCCCCCCCCCCGCGGCAAGACTTCCTTCCCCCCCCGGCGCCTCGCTCATCGACCAACCGTATTTTTCGAATCCCGCAACTTGAATTCGAACAGCCTCATTCAGTCACCCGATTCCTGTTGCGACGCCTTTTTTTTCTTTTTTTTTTATTTGCGGTTGTGCTGTTATTCTGCTGGCTGGAATAGAAACTGCAGTCGCTTTTTAGGTGAGTTTGTGTGTGTGGGAATGGGAATGGGAATGGGCATTTTGGCTATGGCATTTGCGACTGCGAGCGACGACGACCGATACATCCCCCATCGATTAGCTAGCGAGGCGACAAAAAACCAGGGGCCGTTTGGCGCGTCGCATGGGAACACAGAGCCGCTTTTCCCTTTCCACTACGACTCTATGGGATTCGCCCCTACGAACCAAGAAACTATTGCTTCGCGCAAACGGTTTACGAACGAGTTCTTTTCCCTCCCTTGCTTCTTGGCGCGGGAGAAAGGAAAGAAAGACGGTCTCATCGCCCACCATTAAACCCCAAGCGTAACCTTTGCTCTTATCCTGCTTCCCTTGGGGTTGGTGTGGTGTGAGACGCGGTTTCACGCTTGCCCCTTTCGGCTATCCTTAACTCTATCCCGGCGAGCCCCAACTCCAATTTAAACTCCAACTCTAAACCCGACCTGGACGAAACTACCACCCTCCAACGTTCGGTGTTGGTCCTTTCCATCCACTTCCCTCGCCACCCCCCGGTCGTCGGTTGGGTCCCGTTTTTGTCGCCAAGAAAAATTTAATTTTTTTTCCTCCACCGCCTCGCCTCGCCTCCTCTCCTCGTGCAACGGGGCACCCGCGGGCCCGACTCAGCCCACATTCCTTCCCACGCTTCTTATTGCTGGCGGCCTGTCACTCGCACCCCCCTCGCTCTTTCCCCGCAGTTCGCCATTGCCATTTGCCATTGCCATTCCCTGCTCGCAACCCTTAATAGACGTAGTGCGGCTTACGGAACAAAGGCAACTGAACATTCCCATCTTTTCCTTGCACGTCAGATTTCTAGACAGAGCTCCTCGGATAATCTCGAAAGCTCACTTTTCAGGACACTGCCACTCGGTGAGTTTCAGGGCTCGACGCTTTATGACGACTCTGTGATCGAATCCTTGTCTTACTGACCTATCTCGTCGTCCCTTGTCTCAGTCAGTAGACTGTATATATACATAATCCCGCTTAGATCCCCACTCCCACATAATATCTCAACCATGAGTGCCGTCCGCGAATACCTGGCTCAAGTACCATGGAAGCCGATCTTCCAACGGTTACCAGGAACGCTACTCCTGTGCATGATCCCATTCGCCTTTCTCGGACCCGTCTACACACCGGCGCTATTTGGTCTCTACTACATCCTCCTCCACTCTGCCTTCTTCCTCAACAATGCCCGATCGGCGTACGGAATGTACATTGCCTACACCAATGCCAAGCTGTATTCGCTGACCGACTGGGTGGCCAAATACTGCCAGGAAACGGGAACCGTGGATGGCAACGACACCCGCCACGACCTGCCCTTTGAGCAGATCACCCACGTCATCATCCTCCCCAACTACAAGGAAGAGATGGATACCCTTTGCGAGACTCTGGACGTGCTGGCCAGCCACACGCGAGCGGTCACTCAGTACAAGATTTGCCTCGCAATGGAAGAGGGCGAGCAAGGCGCCCCCGACAAGGCCGGGGTCTTGATGAAGATGTACGCGGACTCGTTCTACGAGATTACATATACCCTGCACCCTCTTGGCCGACCTGGAGAAATCCGCGGGAAATCGTCCAACGTTGCCTGGGCGGCTTCCCAGATGGCGCTCCGATCCGGAGGTGGTCTGGCTGGACGCCACGAGCACGAAGTCATCACTGTCATGGACGCCGATACGTGCTTTGCCGAGGACTACTTTTCGGCCGTCACCTACCACTACACCACGTCGTCCCCGGAGCAGAGGCGAATCATGATGTTTGCCCCGTGTACCGTCTTTGACCGTAACTCGAACAGCGTGCCTGTATTTGTCCGAGTCACTGACATGTTCTGGTCCATTGGTGTTATTTCCAACCTGTACCCGTCGTCGTCCATCAAGATTCCATGCTCTGCGTACTCGGTGTCTATGGATCTGGCCCTCGCGGTCAACTTTTGGGATGCTGGACCGGAAGCCATTGGGGAAGACATGCACATGTACCTCAAGTGCTTCTTTGCCACCGAAGGCCGTGTGATTGTCAAGAGCATCTTTTCGCCCGCGTCGCAATGCAACGTGGAGGGAACTGGCAGCGGAGTGAGCGGTTGGGTATCTGGCATGAACGCTCGCTACGATCAGGCCAAGCGTCACTTGTGGGGATCCCTCGACACGGGTTACTCTCTCCGCCGGATATTGATGAGTTTCATTGCTCCCAACTACGAGGCGACCATCCCGCTCAAGAACATGGGTACCACCAAGTACGGCAAGCAGGAGATCACCAGCAAGCTCCAGTACAGCCCCTTTTTGATTCTTGAGCTCCTCCACCGTCTGCTCGAGTCCCACATTCTCATGGGACACCTGTTTTGCATGATTATCATCTCGGCGATCATCCTTCCCATCCGATCTTCGTTCTCGTACCCTCTGGCGACATTCTTCTGGGGCTACATCTCCAACGAGCCTGTCCACCCGTACGTGGAGCTGTCTTTGAACATTTCGTTCTGGATCCGCATGTCGATTGTCATCCCCAACGTGGTGATGATCTGGTACTACGAAAAGTACCATCAGTGGGTTGGGTTCGAGCGATGGGCACTCCAAGAGCAACAGATGCAGGAATCGCAGGCGTTACCGGTGGGCAAGCCGAGTCGTACCGACTCTGCCCTGGACCTGAGCGCCGACAAGAACAAGCGTAGCGTTATTGCCCCATCCCACGCCCACCTCCGAGTGCAGCCTCTCGGCAAGCGCGCCCAGCTGGCGAGTGAGCGAGCGTACCCGCGCAACCTGTTTGACTGGTTCACGATTCCCGTTGCCGGGTTTTTGTTTTATGTCCTGCCGCAGTTCCACGCGCAAATCACCCAGCTGTTTACGGAGCGACTGGATTACAAGGTGGCGGCCAAGCCCCAGCTGCACAAGCCCGCGGCGGCAGCGTCAGCTCCGGTGGTCAAGACGAGCGCGAACCCGCACATGACGGGCACGCCCGCGCCCGACCTCACGTCCCCGTTTATCATGCACGTGAACCCGCATCTCGCGAAACTGGACGATGCGAGAAGCGTAGCGAGCTCCAAGGGCGACTCGGGCTTTTTTGACGACTTTTCGGTTGTCGTGGAGCGATCGGTGGCTGTATAGCCTTGGTCGCTCATTTCACCCGCATCCATCACCCCCCCCCCCCCCCCCCCCCCCATCCATCCCCTCCTTCTCGTCGGCCCTCCTGGTAGCAGTAGAACGAGATAGTTTTGGGTAGACTAGCGCTTTCCCAATAACTGTCTCTCCCCTCCCACCAGCTTCAACATACTATGATTGACTCCCCGGCGTGATCCACCACAAACACTCTCACTCACACACTCACACAGGCATAGGCTGGTGTAGATACGCTTCTCTCTTGCTTACCTCCACTCTTTCCCTGCCACCGCCCTCCCTCCGTTGTACCTTGTACCTCCTTTCTCTTCTCTTTTTTTGTTACTTTATCAATTTATTCTCTTTCTTTTCGTTCCTATTTCTGTTTGTGGGGATCTCTGGATCTGTGACTTGAGTGGAGAAAGCCGGTAGCCAAAAACGTATCCCACCTCTCACTCGAGGCAAAAGCGAACAAAAGAGGGAAGCGATCCTACCAAGGATCGAACTTGGAATCTCGCGCTTCGTAGGCGCGCGCCTTAACCATTGGGCCATAGGACCTGTTAAAGTAACGTTGTTAGCCGGACGGTCTGGAACAACAAGCCACGTATGGCCCTTGGAACACGTGCTGTTGTATGTGGCTTGAGAGATGCGAAAAAAGCGCGTCTGTGGCTTTTGTGGTAGCGCCGAGAGTGTCCCTTTTGCGTGTTTTTGTTTGTTGGACGTCTCACGGTTCAAGATCCGCAGGTCACAGAAAGAGGTGGAGTGTGACTGGGCATGACCTTCTCGCACGTACATGTTTGCCAATCTTTGTCTGACTCTGGCTGGAAAGTTTTTTTGGGGGTTTTTCTTGGTCAGTGAGAACGGGAGCGACAAGCTGGCTACTACGGTAGCACTTTATCTATGAAGATGAGGATCACCTGTGATTTCGCACACCTTGTTGAGGCTTGGTACCGATACTACGCGCGCGCGATTTCAAGGGAACACTAGGCGCACCAAAAAAGCGACGCAAAAGCAAAAAGGCAGGGAGAGAGAACGAAAGAAGGAAAATATATATAAAAAAAACACTCCCAACCCAAACCGGAAGCGGTACCGTGACAGGGATAAAGGAAAACTTGTAGCGATATCTTGAAGGAAAGAGAATTGACAACGAACGCCGACTGCAGCCTCTTCGGCTTTATAAACCAAAGACGCACAACCACCAACCCCCCTCCCCCGCCCTCCTCACCCTCCGTTTCGCGCCGTTCCGCTCTCGCAACCATGAAGCTGACGTCCATCTCCCTCGCCCTCCTCTCCGTCTCGGCCGCCATCGTCTCGGCCACCCCGATCAGAAAGTGCCGTCCCCCAACCCCCTCCACCCCGCCCACCTACCCCACCGATGTGCCGGCCACATCCACGGGTAGCACCCCCGGTCCCACCAACACCCCGATCCCGCCCGTTGCGAAAAAGAACACCATGACGATCCTCGCGACCAACGACATCCACGCCCACTTGGACGAATTCAACAAGGGGGGAACCGACTGTCGCCAAAAGGATATTGACGCCAACCTCTGTTTCGGCGGAGCCGCGCGCATAAAGTACCTTGTTGACAAGACCCGCGCGGAAAACGATAATGTCGTCCTCCTCGACGCCGGAGACCAGTTCCAAGGAACCCTCTTCTTCAACGTCTTTGGCGGAACCGTGTCGGGACAGATTATGAACATGCTCAAATACGACGCCATGTGCATCGGAAACCACGAATTTGATAATGGAATCGAGTACGCGGCCGAGTTCTTCAAGAACCTCACGTTCCCCGTCGTCTCGTCCAACATTGACCTCGAGACGGCCAAACCGCTCAAGGAAGCCGGCGTCAAGCCGTACACGATCCTCAAGGACTACGGTGTGGGTATCATTGGCTACATCACCAACACCACCGCTTCCATTGCCACGGGAGCCCAGAACGTGACGTTCTACAACGCCGCCCCGGTGGTGCAGAAATATGTCGATGAGCTGCACGCTATGGGCATCAAGCGTATCATCTGCGTCTCCCACAACGGATACAACCACGACAAGTACCTGGCCGAAAACACCCGCGGTGTTAACCTTATTGTAGGCGGCCACTCCCACTCGCTTCTCCTCGACAACACCACCATTGCGGGCGTCGTGGGTCCTTACCCCACTGCTCAAACTAACCTTGACGGCCAGCCCACGTACATTGTCCAGTCTCACCGCTACGGCGACTACCTCGGCCATGTGCAGTTGGCCTGGAACGACGCGGACGAGCTTCTCTCGGTTACAGGTGAATCCATCCTGATGGACAAGTCGGTCCCCAAGCACAACGAAACCGCCATCCAGGTCGCCGAGTGGCGTAAACAGTTTGCCACCCTCACGGCCCTTGTTGTCGGCAAAACCTCTGGCGTGTTTGACATTGTCGGCTGCGGAACCGGCGAATGCGCGATCGGAAACCTCATTGCCGACTCGATGCAGGCCGACGCCAAAACCGATATCGCCTTCCACAACGCTGGCGGTATCCGCGCCGCATTCCAGATCGGAGACGTCACCTACGCCGACGTCCTCACCTGCCTGCCCTTTGGCAACACGGTCACCGAATTCACCTACACGGGCCAACAGGTCCTCGACCTCCTCGAACGCGTCTATGCCGGTAAATCCAAGGACGGCAATGTCGTCGTCTCCAAGCCCCAGTGGGCCGGAATCAAGTTCTCGTACAACCCGGCCCTGCCCGAATTCCAGCGCATTGTCAAGGTCGAGATTGGTGGAAAGCCCCTCGACCCCGCTGCTACTTACTCTCTCGCCACGAACGACTTTGTGTCGGGTGGTGGTGACGGGATCATGGATAAGTTGTCCCTGCCACCCGGCAACTTGATGGCGGATGCCCTCATCAACTGGTTCAAATTGAAGGGAACTGTGGCTCCCACCATCGAGGGCCGTATCACTGTCGTCTCTGCTTAAAAACAGAATGGTGATTGCTGAACTCTCCACCATCCCCCCAAACCCCCGCACACCCGTCTTTAGATAAATTGACGCCCTCCCTCCCCCTCCCCCCTCCAACTGGGTGTCACTCTTAGATTATATCTCTGCCACATATATCTTATGTATTCGCTAGAGAGCAGGAAAACGCAGGGTCGTTTCTTTCCCGCCTCTTGTCGTGTAAAACCCATTACTTTGCAATACACATCATACCACACACTTGCGACACTTGCTCCAGGCTTTCCTTTGTCTGGCCCGCCCCATTGGTTTGGTTGTTCTGGCAATTTATCTGAATGCGCATGGTATTCACTCGACCGACCGGCATTTTGTTAACACACAAGTATGGGTCGACATATAAATATAAATTCACAAGTTGCGATGGAATGTGCTATGCGGTATGCGCTGAATCCCCTCTCATCCCTGTCACACAACTCTTCACTTTCCAGCAGCATCCGCCTCGGCCTGAGTCGAAGGCTTGCACTTGCACTTTTCGTCAGGCTGGAGACCGGCGAGGGCCGTGTCAATGTGTTTGCCGCAGCCTGTGGTGGGGATAGAGAACACAACAGGCGGAAAAAAAAAAGGGAATGAATGGGTGAGTTGGTGAGTAAAAGGAATGATATGAGTTGAGATTCTGTAACGATTTGGGATGGGGGTGTGAAAAGCGAGCAGGTTGAAGGTTGCGGTCATAGTTATAATTTTTTCTCACTCTGAGCTGAACCTGAGAATTAAGCACACCCCTAACTTGAACGTACCGGCCCAAGTCTGTTTCTGGCAGGTCTCGCACTTGACTTGTTTGCACATGGGTGAGTGATTTATCGATACTGTAATTGAGTTGGGTAGTGAGTTGATTGTACTGTGGTTGCGTCGATTTTGTTCCTGTGTTGATTTTATTCAAATGGGAAAAACGAGATTTCTTGTTTAGGCAGTGTGGGGTAAAACTCGAGTGAGTCATGACCATGACCATCGGCCACGTGTTGCGGCGTTGAAGGACGCGGTCTCTCTTGAGGCTTACGTGATATGCAAACCCCGGCCTTTGACATATGCGAGGGAGATTTATGGCTTTTAGTAAGGCGTTTTCTCAACTGATGTAAGCACATACGATAGATTCAAGCGCACGTTTTTTTTCCTCGTCTACATAGCATGTTGTTCGAGTTCCGAGAACTCACTATTGAGGAACGAACAACTTGTTTTGGTTCTTTAACGGGCTGAGTGATAAAGCGACCGAGGGAAAACGGTTTTGCGCTATATCATTTCTTCGTTTTGGCCGCACACAACCTCATAGCTGGGGCATAACCGTATTCCACCAACACGAGAACAGCATCATTTTTTACGCACTACGTTCCCTCTTTCATCATGTATCGTAACAGCGCCATGAACATCACCCCGCTCCGCCCGGGCGGGGACACGAAAACCGCCGCTGCCGTCGAACAGTCCCTCGCCCAAGCCCGGCGCCAACCGCAACCCTTGGACTCCTCCAGGTTTTCCTGGGCACCTTCTTACCGACTGGGAAATTTACTCCATCAACAGGAAATGGAGGATAGGGGTCGGAGACCCTCGGGGGCGAGTGAGATGAGTGCGATGGGAGGGGGTGGGGCCGAGGGATCTGGGGGTCATGGGAATCGACAGTCGATGATGGGTGCGGCTGGGAATAGAGCGTCGACGATGGGTGGCGGACGATTGATGCAACGGAGTGGGTTTGCGATGCAGAGGAGTTATGATAACTTGGCACAAATCGCTGCCGGGGTTGGAAATACCAGCAACACCACCAGCAACAACAACAATGACCAACACCGTCGCCCTTCCAAATCCCTCCCCAAACCCCCCGGTCTCGAACATTTCCAACGGCGTCCCTCCAATCTCGCCCAATCCCCCATCACCGCTTCCCCCACCATAAACACATCAGCCTCGGGCATGCAACGTAAAAAAAGCATCAAAGTCGACACACCCTCCAGCCGCCGCGGGGCCCGCGCAGGTCAAATCACCGTCGAAACCGAATTTGCAGACACAGTCCACGCACCCAACATTGTCACCCCGACCATCGAACGCGGCACGTTGCGGCGTAAGCCCTCTAACATGATCCGAGCTGCCCGCGCGCCAGATGCGGGCGAGAATGGGGGCGCCCGCACACCCGCCATGGCGATTTTGAGCTCCAAGACAAAGTACAATATATGGGGAATATTTGCGCAGATTGTGACGTGCTGTATACCGGCCCTATGTCTTCGCCGCGTCGGGCATATGGCGGAACGGGCCGTGCAGCAGGCGTGGAGAGAAAAACTTGCACTGTGTATTATCATTGTCTCCATGTGTGCTGCGCTTGGGTTTTTGACGTATGGCTTTGTGGCGACGGTGTGCAAAACGGATAATATTATCGGAATCGATGATTTTACGGCTTACACGCCCGCCACGGTCCCGCACCAGCTCGCCATTAACGGAATCGTGTACAACATGTCGACACTCCAAGCGATTCACGATGGTTTGCCACAGTTTCAGGCGCAATTGGAGGCAGCGGCCGAGGTGAAGGAAGCGACGGGGATGGACGTGTCGGCCTACTTTTGGCATCCAGCGACGCCGCCGGCAGAGTGTGTGGGGTTGTT